TGATTTTCCTCATTCTACCAAGTTTGTGAGCTACCTATTTCTTATCCACATTATTTATGGCTTCATCCCTACAGGATGTGTCAGTCCATGTGTTCTTCTGTATCTGTATGCTTTCCCCACGTCATTAATTGGAAAGCTTCTCTACGACATTTTTAATTTTACATGCTAGCAGTTTGATACCATTTTGGTTAAGGTGTCTAAGCCTTTCCATGCTTTGCCTTGGCAGTACCTCATCATCAATCTTCATCTGAAAGTCCTCTTCATTCTCTTCCTCTGGGGCAAAGAAGGATTTTTCGCCATAACCAGCATCCTGTAAAGAAAAATCACATCCCCCACCCACTTTATTAAATGAGCCAGCACAGACAGGGAAAGCAGAAAATTGTGAACCTGAAAATTCTCTAGCAGAAAGTCAGCCAGTGTCTTACACAGGTACTGCTGTGTGAATTCAGGGCATGCAATGGACAAAGAACCTCCCCACAAAAGAACTAAAAGGCTGAAACACTGACTGGCATCTGAACAAATTCTGAAGGCAGAGACTGCACTCTTGACATCAAAAGATTACCAACTCCTTTCAGAGCAAGCCCAGCCTGATCACATGCCAGCCAATCAGCTGTACACAGAGCTGCAAGAGCAAGCAGGCCTCTACTTTCTTTCGTAATTTCTGGGTTCTCTCCTCACTAATGGGTAATTCTTCAGGAAAAATCAGTTGAGGGACAGGCTAAAGAAACAGGAAAGAATAGGAATCTAACACTAGCTGTCTCTCAAATGCTACACTCTACTGCCTGGTAAAGTTTGCCCCAGCCTAGGTGGCCCCCCTACTTCATCCTCTAAAAAGGGCTACTTGCCAGCAACTTATCTAGTCACTGGTATATTGCCTGCAACCAATGCTCACTTTCAGTCGCTGCTCTGCTGAAATCATGCTGTAATAGGCACAGCACTGTTCCGGTGACACCATTGCTCTGATCTCCTCCTCTGTTGGTAATCTGAAGTCTGGTTTCAACACCCACCAATTTGAGTCCATCCCTGAAAAAGAGTGATCCAACACTGGGGACATTTCTGCGGGTGCCAGATGACATCATCTTGGCTACATTGCAATTCTCAGAACCTAACTGCAACAACCACAGGCAGAACAAATGCAAGTCCACTGCCTTCAAGATGTATCATTAGGTTGAGAGTCAGGTCGGTTGTTTCATTTCATTTCCTTCGCTTTTGTGATCAAAACTTCCTAGATAAAAATCACTGACCTATCCCCACTCCTTCCTCACAACATCAAAGTTTCACATTCAATACAGCATCCCAAGCAATACATGAGCTATATCCAAATGGTATCACTCCTATCTTAGATGGTTGCCTGAAGGGGCCTGGCTGGTGAAAAGTAGAACTCACCCCCTACAAGGTGAAAGAACAAAAGTAATATAATTTCCTGCATGGTATGTGCCTGACTCAGACTGCCAGAACCTGCACTCGATGGTAAGATATACTATGCCTCTAACACAGCAAGAACTTCTCCCAGGACCAAGCAGAAAGCAGGGCAAGTGGTACCTTAGAGCCTCACCCTGCCTCATAGCCTAGTTGGTCAGATACGATGAATGGACTGGCCAAAAGAAAAATATTTAAAATAGAGAGGAACTTAAATGCAAAGGAAAGGGGACACCGCTAAGAGACAAAAAGGTGGGATGAAGATATCAATAGGAATAAACAAAGCAGTTAACAGAAGGACACACGAATTAATAGCTGGATTGCAATGGATTCACCTGGAGTCCCTTAGATACGATGCTCACCTGCTTTCTTTCGGACCAGATGCAGATCCTAACTGCCATATTTGATGGCCCCAAGGAACCAATCCTCCATAGAATCATAGGGCTGGAAAGAACCTTAAGGGCTACCCAGTTCAATCCCCTGCACAAACACAGGAATCATCCCTGAGCAATGCTGATACAATGCTGATCCAGCCTCCAAGAAAGAAGATTCCACAGCTTCCCAGGGCAGTCTGTGCCACTGCCCCACTGTTCTAACAGTAAGGATACTTCTCCTGCTATCTAATCTAAATTTATTTTGCTCCACTAAAAAAAAATATTGTTTTGCATCCTGCAGCAAATAATAAAATGTACTCCGTTTTTTACTGCAGCTTTTCAGATATTTGAAGACTGCTATTGTTGCCTTTTCCCCGAACTGAACATGCCCGATTCTCTCAACCTCTCCTCATAAAGCTTGCCTCCCAAGTTCCTGATCATTTGTTATCCACCTACTTCATCTTCTCCACATCCTTCCCCACAGCCCAAAACTGTATCCAATACTCTGGGTGAAGCCTAACCAGTAGCTCCATGAAATGGCAATCACCTCCCATGTCTCAGATATAATGCTATGTTGAAGAAGCTGTCACATGATGAGTCTGTGATCCACCAAAACATCTAACCTTTCTCAGCAATGCTGCCATTGAGCCAGTTATATTTCCCATTATGCATTTGTGTTTGGATTAG